CATCCCTTGGGTGTGTCGTCCACACCACTTATCTTGGTGTTGTCACCAGCAAACTGCTGAGGGTGCACTCAATCCTGCTTTAGATGTCACTGATGAAGATGTTAAAGAGTACCACTCTGACCCCTGAGGAACACCAGTCATCACTGACCTCCATCCAGACGACATTGAGCCGTTAGGTAACGATTGAGCCACTGGATACGATATTGCAACCGAATCCTCATCCATCAAACAGTCCACCCATCAAATCCATATCTTTCCAAATTGGAGAGAAGGATTTTACGGGGGACCATGTCAAAGGCCTTACTGGAGTCCAGATAGATGACATCAGGGGCTATTCCCCTGTCCACTGATCAAGTTATACCATTACAAAAAGCAGCAAGATTGGTCAGGAAGGACTTGCCCTTGTTGAAGCCATGCTGGCAGTTAGCATCTCCCTCTCTTCCATGTGCCTCAGCATAGCTTTCATTGGGATCTGCACCATTAACCACTGTCAACCACCTCTTCTTTTAAAATTTTGATGAAACTGAGCCAGTTCTGCTAGTTACTTTATAGCCGGGAGAAGTTAGCAGAAGAGCAATTAGATGTCTTGCTGAAGACTGCAGGTCAAGGGGCAAATGTAGGAATAACATTGTTATCCTTGTCTTCTAGGATGCCATTTCTTCTCACTAAGTCTCAAACTGAGGCAAATATTTTATTTATGTATGGTTATATAGAGTGTGACAGATCACAGTAGGCAGAGATTCTAGAATCTTTTTTGCATGCATTTGTTAATTTATGCACAGTTGGAAGTATTCTTGATGAGCTAAAGGACTGCAATGTTGGTTTTCTCTGTGTTCTGCTTAACTGAAATGATATTTGCTTTTTTTTTTTTTTTTTTAGAATTTGGTGGAGTGGTACATATGACACATTTTTAAGTCGGAGTAGATAAAGCTACATGATGCCAGAAAATAAGATCCTCCAAACTGACAGCTACTGAATGTTTCTTGACCTATCCATTGAATAGATTTGCTAAGATTACAGGACTGTTTTGATCTTATTTTGTACTCCAGGGCTAGCGGTATATTTAAGGTTCCCTCCAGTGATTTCAAAGTCTTCTCACCTTTGCCCAATTAAAGCCTCCTACTTTACTCACACTGTGATCTACAAACAGCAAAAAACTAACAAAATCAGCTTTGATTCCTTCACTTCTATTAAATGCAATGTTGCAGCTCAGGTCAGTGATCTTCAAATTACCATATTTTAGACAAACCAAAGGAAAGTGTGTTGTATTACCTTATTGCCTGAGGGAATGGCATGGATCTCTATCAGGGGAGGACTGGGGGGACTAAGGAAAGATTCTTCAGCACAGGACATTGGGCATAGAACAGACTGCCCAGGGCAGTGGACACAGCCCTGAGCTGCTGGAGTTCAAGGAGCATTTTGACGACACTCTCAGACATTGGGTTTGGGTTTTGAGTGGTCCTCTGTGGAGCCTAGCGTGGGACTCAGTGATCCTTTTGGGTACCTTTCAACTCACCAACTCAGGATATTCTATGATTCTATATTAGCTGTGCATGAATGGCTGTAGTTGCTATATCCATCTGAAAATATTGCTCTGTGAATTTTCTTATGCCCATCTTTCTGATCAGGATGAATATCTCAGAAATAGAAAATTGCCTATTTGATACCTGGTTTTATGAGTTTCCAGTCAGTGAAGAATACAATAAACTTTGTGTTAAAATAAACTTTGAATGACATTCTTGCTTGAAAGCCTATTATTTACAGGCTCTGTAGGAAGTGTAGGTAGGAGAGATGATGGGGCAGGGGAGGATCATTGTATTCAAAGAAGTGGTTTCATGGTCAGGGTTAGGTAGGAGACTAAGGGGAAAATCTTGGTGGATGTCACTGGGAAATCTTGCCAAGGCTTACAATGGACAGAGAGATGTGATTAGAAAAATGTAGATCAATTTTTGAAAACTAAATTGTTCCTTGCTAGCTTTCTGAGATGAGATGACTAGTTCTGTGAATGAGGGATAATCAGTGGTTTGCCTTGATGTAAGCAGGGCTTTCAGCACAAGTTCTCAGTCTTGTAGCCAAGTGAGAAAGACATTGATGGTGTTAGAGGACAAATGAGACATTGGCCAGACCACAAGATGGCTAGTTGTTAGCAAGTCAAAGTTCAGTTGCTGATCATTTGCTTGTGATGAGCCTACTGAGTTGATGCTACAAATGCTGACTTCTTCATTAGTAACTTGGAGGAAATTCTTGACTCAGAGCATGATGAGGCCCTGGCACTGCTGTCCAGGGGAAGCTGTGGATGTCCCATTCCTGGAAGTGCTTAAGGCCAGATTGGATGAGGCTCTGGGCAGCCTGAACTTGTGGGTGGTAACCAGCCCGTGGCAGTGGGTTAGAAACTAGATGATATTTAAGGTCCCTTCCAACCCACGCCGTTCCTTGATTTTGTGATTCCTCAGCATGCTAAAAAGTTCTGGATGGAGGATGACCAAGGTGGTGGAGCAGGACAGTGGCTGGGAATGGTTCATAGATCTTGTACAGGAAAACTGTGGGAAAGCTTAATTTGTTCATACCAGAGATGAGTTTTTGGAAAAAAGATATCATGGAATCATAGGATCATAGAATGGCCTGGATTGAAAAGGATCTGAAAGATCATGTAGTTTTAACCCCCCTCCTATGGATAGCATCGCCAACCACCAGACCGGGCTGCCCGGCTGCTGTCCTCAACCGTTTAAGGGATGGCTAGAGAGATGAAGCCACAGTCCTCTTGGAGATGCAAAGAAGGGTGGGATGAGATGCTACATACACAATATGCATTAGGTGAAATTCTGAATACGTATATATATGTGTGTGTGAGCGTTAATAGAAACTCAGAGTATTTTAGCATTGAAACAGGGACCTTGCAAGGCTATAAAAGTGTTGAAAAGAAGCTGAGCATTGTGAAAAATGCTCAGGTTCTGCTTGGGCTTGTGAGAGAGAATAAAGCAGTAAATGAATTTCCAAATTAAATTCCAAGTGCTCTAAATATTCTTTTTAAGAGTGTTCCTACAACTGCTAGTTTCTGATTCAGAAATTTTTTAATTTTGACTTTAGGATAATGTGATACAGATAAAAGGCTTTGTTCCTAAACTAGGCTAGAAGCAATCATTTACAGTACGGGAATTTTTTGGAAAGTGATTTCTGAAAGATGTTTTCTATTTCAGTATGGGTTGTTTTTTAAAGCAGTGGAGAGGTGTTTTCATTGTGAAGGTTGCAAACTTCGTTTATGTATGTTACTAGAGCTTTTGTTTGTATATTAGAAGAAGATCAAATCAGTGAAAGAAAAGTTTTGGTAAAGATAGTAGAACATTATTAACAATAATCTTTTTCTCCTATTGGAAAGGTATCATTCTTTAAGTATATTGAGCTTAATAATCATATAAGGTGAAATTTAAAAAAATAAGGTGAAAATGTTTAACATTCAGTGATATTAGTGTTATAAATCTTTACATATGCCTAAAGATAAAAATAGTATAACCAAATGACCTTCAGCTTTTATTTATTTCACAGTGTCCAGTGTTATGGGGCACAATGAGAATAAATGTGTTTGTGTGTAAAGCATTTGTTCAGTTACTAAGCATTTATATGGAAGGATGCCCCGTCCATGGAAGCATTCAAGGCCAGGCTGGATGGGGCTCTGAGCAACCTAGAGGGAGGTGTCCCTGCCTATAGCAGGGGATTGGAACTACATGATCTTAAAGGTCCTTTCCAACCCAAACCATTCCAGGATTCCATGATTACATGATACTGAATTGCATATTGTGATGATAACTGATACATGGCATGATATATACAGACTGTATCTATTTCATTTTCAGTTTTTGTTCATGAGTTACCCAGTTGTATAGAAATAATGACATTAATTAATCATCAATAGCTCTTGAGCAATAATGTACACTTTCTTTGAACACAGAGTTATGTTACAATAACTGCATCAAAAATTGGAAAGAACCTGCGATACTCTCAAAGCATTTGAATTACTGCACTAATTAATGATACATTCTTAATTGGGGTTATGTTGCTTAGGTTTTGAATTCCTGCAGTGAATATTTGACAATAGAAATATGATCACTGTTTTCAGTAGTGCTGTACTCATCCCTGATATGCAGAAAGAGATTTTTTGGTCTGTACAATTTTAAAGTACAAGCAGTCATTCGTCAACTAACATACAAAGTAGATAAATAAATACTTATTAATACAAACTAATTTACTTACAGCTCTGATCCACAGTATCTGAGCAAGGGTTATGCAGCTGGGTCAGATCAGAGCTTGGTCTTGCATCACCACCACCAAACCACAGTAAGGGAAGGGGTAGAGATTGAGGCATTTCAGGTGGATGTAAAGTAGCATGGATATGGATTGCATCAATGAGCTAAAGATCAGGTTGGAAAGCTTTACAGACCCACAGAACTTTTAAGACTCAGCATCAGCTGAGTGCACATGAGCTGTGCAGGATATATAGCTTTGATTAAAAAATCTCATTATATATGTGCATATGTATAATATATATATAATAACTATAAAATATATACAGTTATATAATACAAATCAGTAATAGTTTGAATGTTATACTGTGCAAAATTAAATGATTATTGTGGTTTTGCTTGATCACAAAAAGTGGGCTTGTGAGGTAAGGGTAATGGAAAGCCTCACCTCTAAGTTTGCTTAAATCATAAGTTGAATGCATCATGCTTCCTACGTAAAGTGAATGGCTGTTTACTGTACATTTGGGTTGTGATCCAAAGCCTATTGAACTTGAGAACAGAATGATCTGTGATTTGTAGGTTGAGAATCTATTTATTTCATCCTTAACTGATTGAATGGTACCCAAAGTTATGTGCTGTTATGTGATGTGAGATCAATGGGAAGATAAGCTGTTATGCTTTTAATTTAATATGTCATTGTGGGCATTTCAATATTAAGAATTTTCAGGGTTTACATTTTTTCTCTTTTTTGTTTCCTTTCAGGCAAGCCCTGCCCCTATAATTGTCAACACAGACACCTTGGACACAATCCCTTATGTAAGTATTAATTTTGTATAGTGTGTAGATTTTTAAAATGATTTTCCCGCATAAATTTTGCTTAGTATTGGATAGAAATTATAAACAAATCCTACAATTAATTGTCTTTTACAGGTACACTGCTAATTTGTTTCTAGAAGAAGAAATCAGTAATAATAATAATGGCAGTCAGAAAATTACGTACACATAATTTGTAATTCAAACTCCAACACATAAACTGTAACTTACTATAACCAACCTTCCTTTGCAGAAAGAAAGGTGATTTCATTTTTTCCTCCTTGCTAATAAAATAAAATCATGACTATTTACTTTGTAGAGCAGCATATATCTATATTAAGATTCTGGATTCACAGTACAATATTAAAAAGGTGCAAACTGCTCTTCCCATTTGTCTGTATTTCTTTTGCAGTTGATAGCTGTACATGACAAATAACAACACAAGCTAGATGACTTCACGTTTTCTTGTTAATATCTTTTCATTTTAATGGCTTCTAGAGAAAAAAAAAAAAAAAAAAAAAAAGAAAGAAAGGAAGAACGAAATAAAGAAGGAAAGAAAGAAAGAAAGAAATGAAAAACAAAGTAATTTTGCCCTAAAATAAATGCATGCTTTTACTAAAGTAAAAAAACAATATATATATATATATATATATTTACAATTATTTGATAACACTTTCATTTTTGACTTTAAAAGCAACTACAGTTGAAGGTTAATTACATACAGATACATAACAAAATGGGTATGTAATAAGAGAATACCAGGCTTGATACAAGAAAAGCAAGTAGTATGAAGCTAGCCAGGCAATGTATGATCTTCTTGTGTATTTTAGTGATCATTCTAAAGCTCCTAATTAATGTCTCTCAGCTGTCAAATATCCATATCTGTTTCTTACATTTCCAGTGCATAAACCTAATTATTCACCCCACTGATTATTTCGCTGGGTTCTGTCTTGTATAAGGCTAGTGATGAGGAAGTTTAATAGGAGGTGTCCTTGGCAGCTTTTTTGTTTCTGACAATTTATAAAACTTAGAAATTATTGTGCAGGACACAGACAAAGATCATTGCCAAGAGCAAATTAGAAGAATGACACTGCTGTGAAACCAGAGAACCAAATCCCTTGTTGGATATTTCAACCATTGAGAAGAGTGGAACAGTGAAATAAAATTTCTTTGTTTGTTTACATTCCACTTTCTTAAACAGCTTCCAAGTTTCAGTTTTCCTTCCTAACGTCAAAACCATCTGTTGTGGTCTCATTTCCAATACGTCTGTCTTTTCTTCAATTTTAATGAGACACTTTACACTTGCTGTTCTCTATGGTCCATCGAGAGGAACATTGTGAGCCTCAGTTCTCATTTGCAGTGCTGGAGCTGTGCCCAGAACAGTCCACAGTTACAGTGTTAGAATTCCTAAATACAGATGCAATTACATTAGTGACAAGATGTTCAATCAATATGATTTATTCCCTCAAGAGAGCTTATCAATACTTATGCAGTTTTATGTCGCTTTTATACTAGTGTCCCTTTTTCTTTAAAAACAAAAACAAAAAAACAAAAAACAAACAAACCCAAACACATACATACACAGAAGTCCAATAAAATGACAAGACGCGCCCAAGAGAAATATTGACAGTAGACTGAAAAGTGCCTGTGGGGTGTTTCAGTCTATGCACAATGTGATTTAGATAAATAAAAACAAGGTGCTTGTAAAAATAGACAATTCTGAGTTTGTAACCTTCTTGTATAGGAAGAGTTATGTCTCTTAGAAATGGAACACAACAGAGCTACTAAAGAGGAACTAGCCAATAATAAATGCCAAGGTGAAGCCTGCCTGCTGAGGCCAATGTAGTGCCCCACAGGACGTGTCAGTTTTGCTTTACAAGTAAGCAGATCATTCTCATTAGAATTTATATGCTTGAACATTCTTCAGAATGGGAAAGGCTGACACACATGTGGACAAATGACCTCTTACCCCAGCCTCTTATTTGGGAAAGTGGTTTGGGACTCCCAATTACGTGAGAGGTAAATGCCGTAACCACAAACGTCCTCCCTTTCCTACTCCTTTTACTGAGCATTTATTATTGAACGTAATGTTATATAGTGTAGGATATCCTTCTGGTCAGTTTGAGTCAGCTGTCTTGTCTGTGTCCCCTCCTGGCACTTTTCCCACCATCACTTTCTTAGGTATTTGATAAGGCAGAGGAAGGAAAATCTTCCAAAACTTCATGAGCTAAGTATATAATAATGCAGCTATCATTATATCATTTATCTTGCAGGAGATCGCTTTTGGCAGATAGACTGTAAAATGCATTTGGGATTTTTTTTTTTTTTTTTTTTTTTTGTTTTTCAGACAGGTCAGTTCAGGGAGATAAGAGAAAGCTGAACTTAATTATTATTTTGAAATTTGAATATGAGTTACGCATGTGCCTTTTAGCAATGTCAGGACTTACAGACCTACCTGGAAGAAGACTGTGAATGACCAGGAACATCTCTTGTGAATACATAACTAATCCTAATGGATTAGTTATCTGATTAATAAAGTATCTGAAAGTTATCATTGTTTTTTAATTATCATGAGATCCCTCCTTTAGCAGTCCCAGAGGAGCAAATTATTTTACAGATCAGAGAAACCAAGTTCAATTACATCATTTCCTGTCCAATGCTCGCTGCATCTATGATGTTAGTGGACAACAGTTGTCAGTCCTCTCTCATAATAGAACTGTGTTTAACACTCCCAATGGATTGGAATTATCTTAGAGGTCTGTTTCTGTTCTCATGCTTCAGAGTGTGTTTGAAGTCTAGCAAGCCTCTTGATGGAGGAACACACAGAAATTTTTAGCTCTGAAGACTTTTACCACACTACCTACGTCCACATTCTTTTTCTCATGTCCTGTCTTTCTCTGCTCGATCAGTTTAATTCTTTCCCTGCAGTACATATTCCACAAGTCTGAGTAATTCTAAATCAACTTATGAAAAAAATTTAAAAGTAAGTCAATGTATCAAGGCCAGCTTGGATGCAGGCAGCCTGACCTGGTGGGAGGTGTCTCACCCATGGCAAGGAGTTGGAATGAATGTGTCTTTAAGGTCCCTTCCAACTCAGACCAATCTGCGATTCTATTATATGGAAGCATACCATGGAAGTGTTTGGCACATTAGTTTTTGGTTGCTGACTGATAGCTTAATCAGGATGTTTTTCACAAAACTTCACTAACACTACCTACTTATCTTTTTGCCAAAAAATGAGCTGTTCTTTTTAGCCTATTTCAAAAGTATCGAAACTACATATAACTTTTCCTTTATCAGGTCTGCTTTTTCTATAACTATCATTTTCATTATACTTAATGAAGTAAACATGAAACACCGGAATAAGTATGAATTTTCAAATTTTGTTGAATAGATTGTTCTACTTTACTCCGCCATTACTAGCCACAACTGATCACTTAGTAAAGTAGATCACTTAGTAAGGTCAGGCTATTTTCAAAGTTTTTATATACGAAATGGAGACTTCTCTTGATTCCATTTAGCTCTTGACTCAGCAGCTCAACAAGCTATTTTCATTTCCTTTTCTGATATGCACATCCAGTCCATTTCCATTTCAGTGAACACCCTGCTATTCTCCAGGAATTCCTGGGTGTTCTCAGAGAGAGAAGGGAGTAACAGAAATGCTCAGTATTCACAATGCATTTTCAAATGTAATATGTCCAGTGGTCCACCAAAAATAAATTTCAGTTTTACTGTTGGTATGTAACTCGTAAATGGTGTGATTTGTCTCATCAATGTCTTCATGTAATTAAGCCTTTAATTCTGTTGACGTTAAAACCTTTCAACTGAAAAAATCATCCTATTAGGGATTGTCTTCCTTCTGTATACTTTTCTTGAACAAGATGAAAGAAAAGGCCTTATTCTGATATATTGTATGTTATTCTTTATGATTTAGAACAGAAAAAACAGTTAATTCATTTTATTTCCAGGTTCAGTAACTTGAAAACTTTGGCTTGGTGAACGTAGGAATAAATTTGATAGAAAGCTTCAGTGGTACAAAACGAATTATTCTGTGGCATTTTAAGCACAATTAAACATTTGTGGGAGTTTGTTCTTTATTCGCTGGCTGTAAATTTTAGGTCCTATTGTATAATGAGAAGCATTAATTTAATACTCTATGAATCATCTCAATTTCTCTGTTGCACAGAATAAGCTTTATTTATTTCTTTATTTATTGCTTTCCAAAATGCTGCAGAATTAAGTGAAAAGTACTGGCTTTTCTGCATCGTTTTCAGGAGTTGATGTGAGCCTTTCTTTTTTTTTTATGATGGAATTTGATTTTTCTTTCACCTTAACTTCATGTTAATCTTAAATTCTGAGATACTTTCGTTGGTTCCTTCCTGCCTCTACTTGTCACAAAGGTTATAGAACCACATAATCACAAAATGGCTTGGGTTGGAAGGAACCTCAAAGATCATAGAAGATCAAGATTACCTAGTTTACAACCCTTGCTATGGGCAGGGTTACCAGCCTAGGGCAGGGTTACCAGGCACTAGATCAGGCTGCCCAGGGCCTCATCCAAAATAATCTAAATCATTTCCAGGGATGGGCCATACAGAGCTTCTCTGGGCAGCCTGTGCCAGCACCTCTCCAAGATTTCCCCCTATCATCTAAACATCTCCCCTGAATCTCCCGTTTTATTTTAAAACCATTCTTCCTTGTCCTAACACTATCCACTCATGTCAAAAATTGATTTTCCTCCTATTTATAAACTCTCCTCATATACTGAAAAGCCACAATGAGGTGTTCCTGCAGCCTTCTCTTCTCCAGAATGAATAAGCCCACATCTTTCAAGCTTTTTTTTATAGGAGAGGTGCTCCAGCCCTCTGATCATTGTGTGCCTCCTCTGGACCCACTCCAGCAGCTCTGCATCCTTCTTGTGCTGAGGGTGCCAGTCCTGGACACAGTCCTCCAGATGGGGCCTCATGACTACAAAGTACAGAGAGCAGACAATCCCCTCCCCT